GTTTGCCGGGTAAGGGGTGAAGAGGGAGGGGTCAAGCGCATGTTCAAGGAAGGAACAAAGCAAAACAACGTTCCAACTCACAAGCAGAGTGAGTCTTCTTGATAGAGAAACAATGACAAACAGAAAGGGTGAGGCTTCAGAACACTTTGGACTTACTTCGCCTCTTCACTGCGACTGAGGAAAAAAATACTATTTTCTATTGAGCTGTTTCGGTCCTCTACCACAGGTGAGTCACGCTAAGCCTGAGCTGTCTTATTCAGAGTTTCAGCGTAGAAGACCTTCACAGATATTTATGCATGTTATTTTGGATGAGGGCTTCATCAAAACCCATTTAAGGGTTCAAAGTTGCCTTGAAATAGATGGAAATGGCACGTAATTGTCAGCATGTGTGAAAGAATGCAACTAAAAGGGTAAAAGGTTCACCATTTACAGTCATTTGAAGTTGATAAACAACTGACCCAAGTAATCATCTCTTAAAGTTTAGGTCTGGAACAATTTCCACAATATTTGTAAAGAATATTGCCATTTTAGCCTCCAGAGACCCAAGCTTTTATTTGGCATGCATTTTTGCTTTTTTCTTTTAAGATATATGGGATTAGTAGGACCTAATAAGTTTAATAACTAGACTTTGTCATGGTACAGGTAGTTGTTCTTCGTATAGGCTCAGTGGGTTTATCTTTACACTTAAAATGTTTGTTTATATATTTAATTAAATATTTTTATAATTTTGTTCTGACAGTCCCAATGACTTATTTACATTTTTTATTACACAATAAGAACATGATTGGACAAAAATGTATAAAACCATTTTACTTTAGATTTCAAACAGTGTCTGATAGCATCTGCTATGAGGCCAAGAGGTCAAAGCTGAAAGAAAAAAGAAGTATCATCGTAAAGAGAGGCAAAAATGCAATGTCCTCTTATGAGGACACAGGGTTTCAGGAGGACATACCGTACATATATATATTATTTTTTATTTCTTTTATTTTTTTTACGGCTTTATTTTTCTGTTCAAAATGATGGTACATACAGGAATGTCCTGAAGAGAAATATTCCCTCCCAATTTCTAAATAAATCAGTTCTGACTTAAAGGAAATTCTCAGATTATGGCATTAGAATTCTGATTTTGGATCAAATATTCTGAATGGAAATCTCCAAACTTTGAACCTCATAACACAGAATTCTATCTCACAGTTCTTTCTTACTAACCTAAATATCACTAAATAATTACTGATTGATTTTAGTTTGGGAACTTAAGTTTATAACTCAGCATCTCACAACTGATTTATTTAGAAATAATTTATTTAATTTATTTGTATTTCTTAAAAATCTGATGATTTAGTCTTTTCATCTTTTTATCTAGGTTATTCTAACTTAAAATGGCTTTTCATATTTAGAAAGGATTCAGTACCAAAATTCTGATTTACACTCTAGAATTCTCAGTTTTTATTGACAATTCTGATAATATCACAGACTTCTATCTTCATATCCCCAAATAATGAAACTGTTTTAACAGAACTTAACAAGTATATCCACATAATACAGCTAAATATCAATAATGAAATCATATAATAATAATGAATATCTTTTAATTCTGACTCAATATCAGAGATACTATTACATAATTTGGATATAAAACATCTCCAAACTTCAATAGAAATAGAATAAAGTTGCATTTTAAAGAGTAATTTTGTTGTTTTATTATATGTCAGTTAAGGCTGAAGTCATTCTCAATGTTGTTGTCAGTAAACTGAATTCTATGCATCCATTATCATAACCGCCTATTCCCTAATGAGGACTGAGTAAACCAAATTAAAGACCAAAAATAAATAGTGTTTCTATTAATGGGTTTAATTTCTAATTAGTTCCCAAAAAGTACATAACTTTACTGGAATTCTCTACATTTTGAGTAATGTTTTGTGATCACTTAGTGTGTATTAAAGCCATTCATTAGAGCTCTGTGGCGGACCCACAGACTGAGCCTGTCACGTAAATGTTTGTGAGTGGAAAGATGACACGACAACATTGTCTGGATTTGCATGTCTTGTTGTTTTATCTGTGTCCAATGATGACATCGTTATCATCACATGATGTTCCGACCGAGCCTGAATTTCCAGATCTTGCAAAACTCCCAAACTGTGTGGCTCGGTGCCAAAAAACAGACCTGACCTGTGCTCTGTTCTGAAATACTTTTGTCTAACCCTAAAGCTTCGGGCTAAAGTAAAAAGGTTAGATTTTACTCTAGCCCGAAGCTTTAGGGTTCAAAAATAGAATAAAACAGAATGTTTTTTATGCAAATCATCCGTTAAACATTCATAATTAGGGGGGCCACTGCCAGCGGCAAGGCCCACCTATTACTCTTCATCATATTTATTCCGCGACTTATTATCGTTCTCCCATTTCCGCGGACCACTACTCCTCCCGCACGGTTCGACGGATCGGGTCCAAAGTCGGCACGCGCGTCTGGACCCACCTAGCCATGCGTGCTATCACTTATCTTTCTCAAAGGAGCGGGCGTTTCCGAGTAAACGGCGAAAAAGTGGCGAGCGTTTTCCCATAGGAATGCATGGGGGCCGCCGACAAACGGGCCCAAAAAAAGCCGAAAGATGAGGCCCGTCAGGGGCTGGGCCCCTTTTGAGGGCCCCAGGAAGCCAGCCCCGGGTTCCAAGACGGGCAGTAGGTGGCCCCCCTCAAAATTTCTTCAGAAATGTTCTAGTTAAAAGTTTGACACCCTTAAAATCAGCAGTGTGATGTCACTTTGTCTAGTTTTATCGATTCTAAATGAGTTTTTCAAACTAATCTTCTTTGTAGCTAAACAGTGATGATGGCCCTGCCCGCTCTCTACCTATCCGAGGACCAGTTTACGTGCTCTATATGTTTGGACGTGTTCCGGGACCCGGTCTCGACGCCGTGCGGCCACAGCTTCTGCAAGTCTTGCATCTGCTCCTACTGGGACGGAGGCGGGGGGGGCCGGGGGGCCAAATCCTACCTGTGCCCCCTCTGCAAGGAGTCCTTCCGCAAACGCCCGGAGCTCCACGTCAACCGGACCCTGAAGGAGATCACCGAGAAGTTCCAGCAGATGGCCAGCTCCGGTTTTCCGTTAGAGGAAGGGACGGGGGGAGCGGGACCGCCGGGCCACCAGAACCACCAGCCGGCCCTGGGGGGCCCGGTCAGACCCGGGGAGATGCCGGACGGCGTCTTCGCTGAGATGATCACGCGTTTTCAGCAACTGGGGGCGCCCGGAACGAACCCCCAAAGCCGCAGTGCTTCTCTGGATGTCCAGGATGGCCCGCACCATGACTCGCCCCCACCTTACCTCCCACCCCACAGGTACCGTTCAACGCTTTATACATCTCAGATGAGGAAACTAATCCTAAAACTGTGGCCCCAGTAGTTTAAGGGTATCAACAGTGTTGAGGTTTTGGTCTTTTTTTTAAAACTGGTAGATTGAGTTGTTTCAGCAAAGGTCAAGAAGCCATTGATTTGATACAATTCATTCTCTTAAACTCGTAAACTTGAATTTCGAAACCAAATCTACTTTCCAAACCAAATCTACGTTATCAGAGACACCCCTCGAGATTTGTGACATCTGGGAATTATAATGGTTCCAGTTTCCTCCCATCCCGAACTTCCATCTGTCAGGTCATTTCTGGATTTCTTTCATAAAAGAGCTTTTATCTTTTTTTTCTTTCTTTTTTACTACAATTTATTTTAAATTAAGTAGATTAATATAAAGTAAATTATTTGTTTTTTCGTATGACTAAAATAAAAAGTTTCAGCTGTTCTGATTAGCATTTTTGTGTGAATTGAATATTTGAATATACTGGATATTGGATATTTGAAGAGTTTAGAGTTTTTAAGATAAGGTCAATGACCTGTGGTCAGTTTATGGTAAACGGATGTTGTCAAGTAACAGAACATTTGTATATATATATAAAAATGTGTGCGTTATCAAGGTAATTTAATTCCTTTTATTATGCACTTTATGTCCTCTGAGCTCTCTGATGGATTATAAAGCAAATGATGCAAAAATGATCACCAACTTTTTTGTCTATCCTTTGTTGAGAACTTATTTTAACATATTAACATGTATATTCTGCGTATTTTTTTTGCTGTATTTTTTACAAAAGACACAATTTACTGAAAACTGTTGTTTTAAACAGCTTCTTATTTTTTGTTGTTGTCATGTACCTTTAAGTTAGCTTTTTGTAATGTAATTGTTCTTTTTATTTCTTCTTTTCCAGTCATTCAGCAGCCCATCCTTCTCCCCGCTTTTTTTTGTTTTTTTTGCAGGAACGGCTTTTTCCAGTTCTATGCGGCCTCTGCCTAAACTGCCGGTGGTATTGTTTCAAACGGCATTCACGAGATGTTTTTCCTTTTCTTTTGTTCCACACAGTTCCGCCCCGAGCAGTCCCCGAGACTTCAGCCCCGGTCTGCCTCTGTGCCCCGTCCACCTGAGGGCTCTGGAGTTTTTCTGTCGCTCCGACAACACCTGCGTGTGCAGCGCCTGCGTGGACACGGCCGAGCACCGCGGCCACAACACCATCCCGGCCAAGAGAGAGTGGTTCATCAAGCGGGTGCGTGTGTTCGTATGTCTGAAATGACATGTTATGTCAAAGGTCCCATCATTAAGACTTTTGCAACATCTAATTGGAAAAATTCTAAAATAAAAAAAGGGGCCTTGGTGACATCTAGGATAAGAAAATAGAAGCTATGAAACATGAAACATTAAAAATAAAAACAAGATATGTTGATGGAATTCATGACAAAAGGTTGCCCAGCATTCTAAAACAAGAGATGCAACTTTATTGTGATCACTTATTAAAGAATTTTTATAAGGCCTGTTGTTTCATTCTACCTCCTCTATTTGAATTTTAAGTGGATATTTTTTTTCTTGTTGTTTTCCTCAAATCCTGTTCTTGGAAACTATTGAGAGGGAAAAAGGTGAAAGCCAGTATTGTTAAATTTTCAGGTTCAAAAAGGTTCATGACATTTCCATAAAGAAATATGAAGCTCGTTTGAGTGATTTGAAGGGTTATCTTATGTATTATTGTCATTAAATAGACTATCCTGTTTGCCTCACCTCACACATCTGTTCACCTTTGGGATAAGCCATCCTGTGTCCAGTTCTGAACTATTGTTTTTTTTTTTTTTGCAAATTCTCAGACCCAGTTAGGTATTGCGGAGGTGGAGCTGAAAGATCTTATCTGTGAGAGAGAGAGGAAAGTAGAGGAGATCCAAAACTCACTTCGAGAAATCCAGGTGAGTTTTTTCAGTTTTCAATATTGCTCAAATTTAGTCTTACTTAACACATAAACATATAAATTATGTTTATATTCACGCATTTAGAGTTAGGGTAGGAGATGCTCTGTGAAGAGTTTCTTGAAACTCCCAGTATTCCATCATTCCATCGTACTAAGATAGGATATTATACTAACACACACACACACACACGTACACACATATCTCAGATTCATTTTCAGGCTGTCAGCATGGTCATGCAGAAACATAGCGAACGGACACATATGAACAAGGTTTGCCTTGAACAAGTTTTCGTAATCTCTCAAAACATTCCTTTTTCTTCAATCAGGCTGTCGCCAAAAGGGAGACGCATGAAGCTGTTTGTGCTTTTTCCAAGCTGATCTCCACTGTGGAGCAGTGCCAAGCTGAAGTATTGAAGGTAAGCATCTCCACATAATCCCTTGACTGTTTTCGGTCAAATCTAAACGGACACATCTGTTGATTACATGATTACAGCACATGCCACTATTGTCCCCGTTATCTCCAGGTGATTGACGCGAGTCTTCGGGCAGCGGAGAGCAGGGCTCAGAGTTTCCTGACAGAAATCAGGGAGGAAATAGCTGCACTCCAGCAGAAGAGTACGAAGCTAAGCCAGTTGGCTTTGACTGAAGATTACGTGCACTTTTTAAAGGTAAATTAATGAGTACTGACAAAAAAAATGGCACAAAAAGGCAGTGTTGGACTGGTACCGTTCCCATATTGACAAGGATTGTTTTTATCCAGTTGAACTCTTCTGTTTATTAAGATAACCAGAAAATTAGCTTTTTCTGAACCAACAACCTTTTTTCATTTTTTTTCTTTTTTTATTAAAAAAATTGAAAAAAAATAAAAATTAAAAATAAATTAAAAACAACAATAGAAAAATAAAAAAATGAAAATAAAAATAAACCAACAACCTTCATTTGAGAGCCAACCCTGCCCAAAAGAAGGTGTTCCTCTAAATCAACACTTCCATATTAGAGTTGATTGATAATTTTTTGCATAATAGTTGCCACCATTACAGGTTGCTGTAATTAAACCATTGCTTATTAAGATGTGCTCTTCATCCTGTGGTGTTATCGACCTACGCTTTGCCCTGGGTACTCCAGTGTTTCTTCCACCATCCAGAAATAAGCATGTCAGATTGATCGGTTAATCTAAAATGCCTGAAAAGTGAGTGTGTGTGGTTGTTCATCTCCGTGTGGCCCTTGGATGGACTGGTCACCTGTCCAGGGCGCACCCCGCTTCTCCTCCAATGACAGCTGGCGGAAAGAATAAGCCAATGGACAAACGATTTATATCAGGGACATTGTTGATAAGGTTTTTGATATTTCACGTGCATTGTTATTTAGAATAGGGTATTCAGTTCCAAAGATATATTCATATAATGTTGGCTGGGCATTTTTAGCAGGATCGTATGTGGCTTTTCTGTCTTGCGTGATTTAATTAAGATGTAGATCAGGCTGGCATCTGGTGCCAGGACCGAAACTGCTCCAGGCCACCAAATAGCCCAGGTTCTTTCAGTGGAGCCAAATTTAAAATTATAATTGGACAACACTAAATATGGGTTTTGTAGCACCCATGCTGCATGGGCACGTTAAGCCTCTTCAAATCTTGTTTTTTTTTCTTCATTTTTCTTATGTTGGTTGCTAACAAATGGTACTGGAGTACTGGAGATCTGAATGACTTTGAATTAACTTCTTTGATGTACTCTTTTCCTGAAGACATTCCATTCCCTGTCCACTCCGCCACAAGTCAAAGACTGGTCGGGTGTCTCTGTGTCATCTCAGAGGACACCAGGGGTTCTTCTCAAAACTGTCAAACACGCAGTGGACCGCGCTCAGGAGGAGATGCAGAGGGTCCATGAAGCCTGTGAGTTTCCACTTTGACTTTTGGTTCTTCTTGAAGGCTGTTGTGGTAAAATGGACCACCTGATGAGGACTTTTTCTGTTCACTGACAGGTCAACGCCCCTCATCGATCAAGTCTGCACCCAAACCAAACCCAAGTCAGATTTAGTTAACTAAGAACACAAAGTGATATTTGTTTTTTTTGCCGACTATAAAAATGGATTATTGTACTAAAATGTACGTTTTTCCTTCCTTTGCAGAGGTAAGGAGGGTTCAGGAGTATGCAGGTATGTCTTTAAAATCTCACATGGGAATTCATAGTTTCTTCTCCTTCCATATCTTTGTGTTGGCCATTTTAACCTAACTGGACACCCTGTAATCCATCAGCCGACATCACTCTGGACTCCCGCACAGCCCACCTACGTCTCGTCATCTCAGTGGACGGGAAGCAGGTGCACTGTGGCGAGCGCCATCAGTTGGCGCCAGACAACCCGGAGCGTTTCGACCGGGTAGTGTGCGTGTTGGCCCACCAGGGCTTCAGCTCAGGAAGGCATTACTGGGAGGTAGGTCACACAATTTCTATTTATTCTAACCTCTGTAATTCAATTCAGTTCAAATATCTTCAGAATAAAGAAAAAGTTCAAATAACCACATCAACAAATACATATAGACAAAGTGTCAGTGCGGGGAACTGCTCCCAAAAGCTTGGGAGTAATGATTCCAAGCCCAGTCTGAGAAAATACAACAGAAATGTATTATATAATACATATATTGTGTAAGTCTTAGTCTTGCAGATTCAGCAAACAAACATAAACTTGACTCAACTAAAGGCCTGCAACAAATACTAAACAGTCCAACGGTTATTAGGAATATCAACAAATATTGGCTTCAGAGGGGGTCAAAGGCCTCTCCCTCCAACTTTTAAAACTTCCTCTTCCTGGGTTTCTTCGTTGTCTATATCCCAAGTGGTCCCCCTACTGGGACCCTGGCTACTATTGCTTCCTCTAATCAAACTCCGCTGATTGGATGTAACTGTATTATCTGACATGTCGTTCACTACTTTTCAAACCCTCTGTCCACTTACACCCAACTCCCTTAACAACGAGACAGCAGACTTTGCGACAAATCCTCCACGTC